GAAAGATCTTTTGAGGACTGTTATGGGATGCTGAGCATAAAAGCAGCACTAAGGAAGGAAGAAAATAATAAAAAGGTGTAATTCAGAACAAAAAAAAACACTGTTGAGACAGATTACTGACATTCCCTGGACAAAAAAAACCAAAAACTTTTAGAGATATGGAGATTAAAACTTAAAGTAGTCCTGTCGTCTTTTTCAGTTTTTGTTGTACATATGCCTGTAAATAAAAGATGGATCTTTTATATGAATATAAATAATATATTAATATTGTCTATTTACTTATTACTCTGTCTTATAACTGTTGTATAGGAAGTAACAATATAAATACATTAAGCTTAAGCTTTTGGCAAACAATGTCTGTCTGACAAAACAGGCTCTCTGCAGCCTCTAATGATGTAAAATATGCAAAAATCTACCAGTTGCTCTGTCCATGATGTGTGCTTTGCCTATTTTGCCGGTTTTTTTTTGTTTGTTTTTTTACATGGGTTCCCTCCTCAATATTCCTACCAGACCTTAAGGGTCTGGTATGACTTTGAGGGGGAATCCTGCACACTTTTTTTTTTGTTTTTTTTACACAGGGTCCCTCTTAAATATTCTTATCAGACCTTAAGGGTCTGGTATGACTTTTGAGGGGAACCCCATGCTTTTTTTTTAAATGTGGTCTCTCCTAACATTCCGACCAGACCTAAAGGGTCCGGTATTGTTTGGGAGGGGGAACTGCACGCTTTAAAGAAAAAATGTCAGTTTTGCTGCAGCAGGTTCTATGCTGAGTACAGATTTGTCACTTTACAGGCAGGTCAAGGGGACTTCCAGACACGATATTTGAAGGATTTTTTATTTTTACCCTTTAAGTGATGTTAAAATCACTGCTCCTTTACAAAAAGTGTTTTTTAAAGTTTTTTCTCATTAATTCATGTCTCCCAGGGCAGTCCCTGGATCCCCATACACCTTTTATGGCCAATAACTTGCATATAAGCCCCCCTAAAGGGGACAATTGTTTTTTTAAAGTTCTACCCCATAGACTTGCATAGACTTCAAGTTCGAATTCGAACTTTTTGGATTTTCTAAAGTTCGAATTCGAACCGAACTCGGACCTGTTTCGGCTCATCACTAGCAAAGAATGCACACCAAGCTTTGAATGCACTACTCTGTGTACATAATAAAGCATCTTGTGAGGAGGAAGGTAAAAGGCATTTTTTGCAGAAGGGAAGTAGTGGACTTGATTTACTAAAGGCTGTTCACTTTGCAAGGGGATTTTCCATTAGCTTAGTGAATGTGGTATAAATTTGCAAAGGATACACAATCACTTGCAAGGAAGTAAAAAAACAGTATTTTTCTTATGCATGATTGGATGATGGAAGTCAGCAAAGCTTCATTTCATTCAGTAAGCTAAGAACATTTCCTTGAACAGTGAAAATTCATTTTCAGCGTTAACAGCCTAGTCAATAAACCCAAGTCTGTCTCCTCTGCAATAAAAATCTTTCCTTCTCACAATTTTTCAAATCAGGGCTTTCGTTCCAGTTTAGAATTATTTGGACATTACACCTATTATACCTTACAGACAACATACCTTACATGTGTTCTTGACCAATCACATTTGATAAAAACAATGATATCTCATGGAGAAGCATAGTTGCATGATATATACTTTATGAACACTGCATGGAAAGGTATTTCCTGTAAGTGTGCTCTTTGCTTGCTTTTATTGGTGAGCCATTATGGACTTTAGAACCATTCTCTCTTCATTTCAGACAATGGTTAAATTCTGTGTAGCATTACCTGCTTACGCAACACTAGATAGAAGATTCTAGATTCACAATGGAAGCATCATATAAGAATTACATCTTCAGTTTGCTAAAGGCATGAGAAAACATTTCTTCATTCCCCCCCTCCCCTAGTAATCACTTAATATGACATTTGTAACAGATACCAGAGGACAGAGCAGTTTAAAACATGTACACAGTCGACAACATTGGGCTACTTACAGTGATTGATGAGGTTCGAGTTCTCTTTGAATTATCAAAGGATCCCCAGGTTTTACTTTATGGTCGAATTGCGAACTATTGGCCAATAAGTTTGTCTGACCCAAAAATAAGGAACAAACCATAATATGTACACTGCTTAGCTGTTTCCTCTACTCTGCCGAGTCACAAGAGCCAATAATTTGAAGAAATGGATAACGCAGCCCCTTCATTATAAAAGGGTAGGCTCACAGCAGCCATATTGTCAGTATGTGTTGGAGCTGTTAGCCCCATTCACACCTGAATGCCCTCCCTGTATTTTTGTTTTGTTTTTTTGGTACATGTCTGCCATGCAAAAATTTGGCAATAGCTTGCCATGCCTTTTATTTTGTGTTATTTTGTTTATTAACCCTACAAATTGCCAGAATTAATAACCAGATTCTCCCCCATAGACTTCAGTGGGGTCCACTGCAAATTTTGGTTTGCAAAACTGCTCTTAAAGTATTATTAAACTCTCAGTAATTAATCCAGATGTACATTGCCTAACAAAGTATTGCTTTACATTCTTGCCCAAGCACTTACAGTTATCATGTTTCCAAACAGCTGTCTCCAACTATCTCAGCTCTGTTTACCTGGGACAGCACATGGGACAGCACTGTCTCCAGCAGCTGTTCACCTACTAGATTGGAGAAGTGAAGAGTGAGAAGCAGGGGACAAGGAGAAGGAGAATGTCTTGCTCTGCTGTGTCTGTGTGTTTGTGGAATCGGTAAACAAAGATGTCTCCTGCACACCATACATCAATAAAGACCGGTGTTTAAAATAGCGGTGGTGCTTGTAGTGATCTCCACGGATGGTGTCGTGTGTATACAAGGTTACAGCGATGAAGATCGCCAGCACTCATAGGATGAGATAAATCCAAGTGTTCTTTTATTGAAGAAGCTTGTCACATGTGTTGTATAGCCAACGTTTCGGACCACACAGGGTCCCTTTATCAGGGCAGACATAGTGACATGTCACTATGACAAAGTCACTATGTCTGCACTGATGAAGGGACCCTGCGTGCGTCCGAAACATTGGCTATACAACATATGTGACAAGCGTCTTCAATAAAAGAACACTTGAATTTATCTCATCCTTTGAGTGCTGGTGATCTTCATCGCTGTAATCTGTGTGTTTGTGGAAACACACTCAGCTTACTAACACACACAAGGGTGGTTCCATAGGACCCTGCAAGGGAAAGGAGCCAATGTAAAACAGAATATCAGGGCCAGTGTTCAGGAGACCCGCTGATTCTGCAGGAAACGAAAACTTTTAAACATGAAAGTGCAATATCCATTGTAAGTGATTTTATCAGCATTTGAAATAGCTTAAAAACATTTTGACTTTAATATCATTTTATATCAAACCTGGGCCTGTTCAATCATAACTGCTTAATGTGCAGATAGCAGGATTTATATAAGTCTGTCATCCTTGGGTATGCATTTTAATCTAGGAAGATGTTCACTCTTAATGATATCTTAGCAAAGATAGATCTGGTCTTATGAAAGAGAAAGATGAAGGCAAAGTTACAGGGGTATCTCTTTGAGAGATAATGAATACCTTAAGGGGTTAAACGTATAATGTATTTTGCATGCAATGATTTACAATGAAAAATGTATCTGATGCTCAATTCAAAAAAGCTGAACTCCAGGCAAACAGCTAAATACACAGATAAAATACATATATATAGGAGTTGTTTCTTTCCATCCATTACTTAGATTTACACAGCCCCTTTCACGCTGCACAGCAAGGTGGATGACACCACTTACACCTAAGGTATACATGATGTCCCCTCTCCACCCCCAGCCCTCTGACTAGACAGTAAAAGAGCAGCACACACTGATAAAGTCCTTCTATCAAGCATGCTCACATTTGCATGGATTACACCTGTGTGGCTCCTAGTCTTGACCCCTCCTCTCCCAGTCTGAGTGCTGCTGTACATAGGATTGCAAGAAGTTGATACCATGTCAAATTCAGGCACTTTTACTAGTTGCATTAAACAAGATTGTAATAATGTATCAATATATTTAACTTTTATAGAGTTTTCTGAAGGTTGTAGACTCAACTGCGTGGCCGTGAACACTATGAAACTAGATCTTTTACACATATAAGCATCTAATGCATGCATATTTTTATTGCTTAAGCTAAACATACTGCTTGAGCCGTTGAAGTGAGGCAATGTACACTACCAAGTAGACTAAGGAGTGTATTCATAAAATGTTTGTAGAGTTTTTCGCTCTGCAAACATCTGAGTTTTAGATTCACACTACATTATGGCCACTAGATGGAGCCAAGGAGGATAGGCACTTCCTATGCAGCTGTAAATTCACCCTAAAGATGTAATACAAATGACTGCTGCTTCCACTATTCTCATTCAAGATCTGAATATATATTGATTGCTTAAGAGAGGTGCTCCCTCAGACACAAAGTTGTATAAGGAGAACATACTTCAAATAACCTAATCTGTGACAATGTTTCAAATTAGCTGTGACATCTGTGACAATAATTTATGTTTAGGTATCTTTAAAGTGACATTAAACTCAGAAGTTAAATGTTAAAAAATGCATTTAAGTACCTTAACTATTAAAAAAAACTGTACCCTATTGCTCAGCTGTAGATTTATGATGACCCTGTCCTTCCTTTTGGACTACAATTTCCCTTGATGGACTACAATCTCACATATAGTTTACTAATTTGTATTGAGATTGCAGTCCATCAGGAGATTGATCTTGGACTGGTGGCTACTTTACAACACAAAATGGGACCATGGGGAACAAAAGTAGCCAATTCAGCTATGATTTGAGGATCTACAGCTGAGTGATACACAAATAAGCTCCAGTATTGGTAATAGTTAAGTTACTTGATTGCATTTTTAGGATTTAACTCCTGAGTTTAGTGTCCCATTAAGTAACATAGTTCATATTTCATAAAAAATAAGATATATTTGTTGTGTGAAGTAAATCCTATGTTACTTAACATGCTTTCTATTATCTTTTAAAGGTATATCCATGCCAGTGCCTGTGTTGGGACTGCAGGATGATAGCAAAGTGTTCAACCAAGAAAACTGCTCTTTGTCAGATGACCACTTTATCCTCGTTGCATCTTTTGTTGCATTTTTCATTCCTCTAATCATAATGGTGGTCACATACTTTTTAACAATAAAATTGCTACAGAAGGAAGCAGACCTTTATTTTAGTAACCTTGGGGCAAAAAGCAAGCTAGCTTTTTTTAGCTTTCTCCCACAAACGTCTATTTCTTCAGAAAAGCTATTTCAACGTTCCCTGCAAAAGGACATCGCTCCACATGGGAGGAAGACTATGCAGTCCATCAGCAATGAGCGGAAAGCCTCCAAAGTCCTGGGCATTGTATTTTTCCTCTTTGTGATCATGTGGTGTCCATTTTTCATCACCAATGTGATGGCAGTTATCTGCAAAGACTCATGTAATGAACATATTATAGGAGAACTGTTGAAAGTCTTTGTGTGGATTGGTTATCTATCTTCAGCAGTTAATCCACTGGTGTACACACTGTTCAACCAAACGTACCGTTCTGCTTTCTCTCGTTACATCCAGTGTCGGTACAGGGAGGAGAAAAAGCCTTTGCAATTAATTTTGGTGAATACCATCCCCGCACTGGCATACAACTCAAGTCAGCTGCAACTTGCACAAATGAAGAGTTTAAAGAAAGAAAAAAAAATGAAAACGAATGACTACTCCTTGGTTAGTATAGGCTTACCCTCTTTGGACAAAACTAATTCTGGAGCAGGATCACAAAATGAAAATGTTAGTTGTCTGTAAGTGGGACATTATTCTAAAGACAGTTTTGCATTGTGAATGGACCTGGTGCCAGAATCTTCTAATGGAAATGAACGTAGGAGTTTCTATGAGCACAAAGTAGAAATATCCTAGAAAAATATATTTATTTTAAAACTGAGAGCAAACAAAACAGAAATGATATTACAGGACAAAAAGCTTTCATATGAGGCAAGCCTCAGTTACCTTAATGTACCTCAAGCAACTCCCTGCATCTGACTGTGAATGAGCACTTTAAGGGGTCTGTATTCTTGCAAAGGGCAACTTTATATAAGGGGTTTCCAGTAGCTACTGTGCCTATTGAGATGTAAAGTTTTAGACTTATTAGTAAGAGTGCAGCAATGACCTACAAATGAAATGATCACACAATTAGGTAAATAAAGAAGCAGTGGATTGTTATTCAGCAAATATCTTACAGTATTTAATTTTTCAGAAGGAATATACCTCTTTTATCCTCTGTTTTGTGAAGTTTTTGTATGTTTGGAAAGTTAAGAAAATGTTTGCACATTTGTGATACTAATTAGTCTCCTTAGACCTGTGAGGTTTCTCCTATGGAGTGATAATTCCGTTATGTCACAATCCAGCATTGTTCTTCCCTGATTGTATTGGATTTTGGATATGTTCTTGCTGCAATTTTGTGAGCAGTTAACCAGACTGATTTTAAGTTAGACTCACTAAGGCGGCTGCTATAAGACAAAAGCTGGGAGGTGCATGTGCCTTTCCCGCAGTAAAGTCAGATTTCCACATCTCGAATCTGTAGACATCTGGCTCCCTTATTCCATATCCTGCTTTGGATCCATTTTTTGATAAGCATGATAATCATGAGTGAACTGAAATTCAGTTAGAAAGATATGCAAGAACATCAGCTAATCTTATATCAAGCGGATGTCAATGGCACTGCATGAATTTATCACATACAATGGAGGCAGACTTGAGTCTGTCAAAAAGTAGTGCAAATAGAAAGTCTTGGAAGTAAGACTTCTTGATTTTTTATTAGGTCTTGTTCACAACAAGCGGGTTCCAGGTGCAGAGCAGAGCAGATACAGACCAGATCAAAACAGCGTCCAATGTATTCTAATGGTATTTTGGGCTCTAGTTCACACCGCAGCGTTCAGTTCCAGAGCAGGTAAAAAAACTGCGGCAGGCCCTATTTTACCTGCTCTGGATCTGCTCTGGAACGCATGCAAACGCATCAAAAACGCATGCAGACGCCCTGGAACACACTCAAAGCCCCCAATTTTTTTTAACCAAAAACGGCCAGGGACGCATCAAAAACGCGGCAAAAGACCCACTGCACTGCGTGTGCAGAAACCTGAACAGATCTGCTCTGCATTTGGTGTGAACAAGGCCTTATGGGTCCTGTGCATTGATTTAACTTAAAAAGGGAAACTCCATAATTTATAAGTACATAGTGGCTCCTAGTGGCACAGTGATATCTAAATAAAATACAATTTTAATTTCATGATATTGTATTTTTATAGAGGTGCCATCATTGCATATAAATCAGACTGAGCAAAAAAGGTGATTTGCAATATAGATCACAGAATTCCTACAGTGCTGCCGAGGTTTAAAAACAGGATATCATGGTAGCCAAGGATAACAATCTAATTGCAAATGTGTTTGAAAATTAGCACAGGACAAATGTTAAAGGATATGTAATCCCAAAATTAGTTTTTTAGGAATGTTCGGCATCATGCCTCACTATATTTCTTTTGGTGAATTGGTTGTAATGTTTCTTACATATAGATCCTGCCACTAAGTACTTCCTCTTGCAGGCTGACAATGCTAAGCTGCTGCTTTTTAAGAAGCAGCAAGGTTATCAGCTTGCCATGTGCGCTCTTTTAGTTGGCCAGTGGGCTGCTAAGCAGTTCTTTCACATTGGCAGTCCAGCTACCTGTTGAAGGAACACAAACATCAGAATGACAACGCTAAGCCACTACCTTTCTCCGGCGCTGCGGGGGCCTGGCCGCCTCCTCGCCTTTCACTGTCGGCCGATACTCATGAAAGGGTCCCGGGCGAGCCCCCCAGGCTGCCTGGGCCCCTTACATGAGTATCGGCCATACCCCCCTGATGGCAGCCCTGTACCTTTTTATTAGCCAGTAGCAATGTCAGCCTGCCAGGAACTTTTCTTCAGTTGGCTGTTTAACAGACTACAACAGGAAGTGCTGTTACTGGCAGGATCTCTGGGTAAGAAAGAGAGGTCATGCCAAATATACTAAAAATAGATTTTGGGTTTACATACACTTTAACAGTTTTTTATATTGAAAGTATAACTTGGTAAATTGTAAACTTGGTAAAGTCTCTCTTACATCAATGTTTATAGAAATATTGCTTCTTTTATTGTCATCTATTTTTATTAATTTGCTATTAGCCTACCTTTGTGTTTGACAGTTATATAACCATCATACATATAATGTAAGATGTCTAACAACTCACAGGTTCCAAATAGCTTAATATTACATCAAAAATAAAGTCTGTTTTTAACTAGGGCAAAGTGCATCTCCTTCACTTCCTCTAATACATTGACAATCACTGTCCATTAGTATACCAAGCAAATTAAGTATTCTTTATTGAGCAAAACCAGTAAAATAACAAATGTTTCAAGCTCAAGCTAGAAAAACTGCCAGTTTAGGTGTACCTTACATGTTTTATGGAGACATCATTTTCAAACAAACCACGAAAAAACATCACGGGTCTGCAGATTTACCTGTATTCTGTAGCCTCAGTTTCTTATCATGGCTATGATTATTGAATGTACCTGTGGCACTACTAAAAAAAATCCTGTTTTTAGTTCGTTTCTTGTTGTTTCTCATGCTGGTTGGTTGGTTTAATTAATGTATAACAAAATGCATTGTATATTTTTGAGCAATATTATAAATTAAACCAATGCAGTTTTTTTTAACAATGTGTCATATTTTCACATCACTTTGACCTATGTACAACATAACACCCAAAGTATAATTAATGAGTGTTTCAAAACTCCTTCAGCCATAACAAATCGTCATAATTAGACTGTATGAAATGTCATTATCAGGGTAACTAAGCCTACCATTTGGATGAACTTTATTACCACAAAAACAGACCTGTGATTGAAGCAGAAGGAATTTGGCATACTAATATAAGCCTGAAGCTGGCCATAAACCTTACAATTATCTGCAGATTTTCTGTGGTCAGATGGAAAAGGTGCAACAGATTCCTCCATCTGCACTTAACTATGTGGATGAAGGAATCTCCCACTGAGCCACGCTTCTGTAATCTTGCTAGTCGGCCCTGCTGGCTCTCAAAACACCTGAACAATGCCTGCATCCAAACAGATTGTTCAGGTATTTTGACAGACAGTGGGGCTGACTAGCAAGATACTGAAGCTTGGCCGAGTGGGAGATTCCTTTATCCACACAGTTTAGCGTAGATGGAGGAATCTGTTGCACTTTTTCCATCTGACCACAGAAAATCTGCAGATAATTGTAAGGTGTATGGGCACCTTAAGACTAACTATGATGTTGGATATCTCTCACACAGGTTAGTATATGCAATATGACATCCCCATCATGTGTTTGAACATCCACATTTTATAAAGGTGTCTTTTAAAATAGGCAGGCAGTAGACATTGATGAATATTTAAATGACAAATGGAAATGTTACTTTAAAGATTTTCATCACTTGCAATCCAGGTTTAAAAAATAGCATATTTACCTCCTTAAGGACCCTTTCGCTGCCAAGGCCTTTTTTAATTTTTTGCACACGTTATAATCCACATTTTACGCCTGAAAATTACTTCAAACCCCCAAACATATATTTTCCAAAAGCCAAGACCCTGTAGAATTAAATGGTGGCAGTGTCAAATTTTTATGTTGCACGATATTAGCACAACTCCTTATTAAATCCCAAAATTTAGTGAAAAATGCACTTAAGGTCAATTAAGTGCCCCAAAACACATTATAATACCCATGGTTACGTTGAGTAAATAGATACCCAACATGCCCAGGTTAAAAATGAAGTGCATATGTAAACAGTCCATAGACGATGCTTTAAAAGCCCCTACAGGTCATGAATAAATATTGGCCCTAGAATTATTGCTCTCATGATGACATGCACGGCGATACCCAAACTGTGTAGCGCGATCGTCGCTTTCGTATGTAGGTGCACCCAACGCGTGGTTATGTGAATACGTGTGTACTCGCCGTAGAATTGCATTCTTTTTACATTTATTTTATGTAATATTATTTTTAAAAACTTTTTTTACTTTACTTTAATTGCTATCACATAGCTTACAAGCCCCCAAGTGATAGCATATTGGTGGTGACAGGTCCTCTTTAAGGTGATACTGGGGATCCAAAAGACCCCCAGTGTCACCTTTCCACTTTAAATAAGCTATTGAAGTGTAGATTGCACTTCAATAGCTTATTGCTCTGCTACGGGAGCAGAGCATTAATAGTTCAGGCATTGGAAGTGATGTAATCCTTGTCGCTCCCGATCCCATAGAGCAGGGAGGAGATCAGCGAATGGATGTTCGCCGCTCTCCTCCCCAGTTTCCCGCTGACACCCGTGATGCCAGTCCTGGGCCCGCAGGAGGGGTAGCGGAACCCGGGAGACATGGCTGGGGTGTCGGGTTGGGGGGGGGCACTTTAAAGGCCCGTAGAAGCGATCTGATGGCAGCTGAACCGCCAGAATCGCTTTTATTGTAAAGCTGATAGCCAGCTTTACAAATGTAAAAAGAGTCCTGGCGGCTTTACTGTTTTGTTGTTGTTGTTTTTTCCCTGTCTTTGCCGTTTTTTCCTTCTATAATCTTTATTATTCTTCCAAATTATACAACTTACAACACTTATACAAAAAAACCTTGTAATTAAACCATTATTGTGTCATCAGAGAAATAATTAAATCAACTTATCTAATGTATCAAAATTATACAATAATTCTTACAATTTTAACAAACATGTGATTCACAAGTGAGTTACTATTTATCCCTTCTTCAGATAATAATAATT